TTGATGCATTACTTTGTATACTAACTTTATATTTGATTTCAGATGACAAGAATGGTACACTGGATATCACTTCCGATGGTAGGGTTTTGTACACTGAAAATGGAACTACTGAAACTATCTGTTCATATGAATGGGATGATATCGATGCTGGAGTTTTATGTAGACATCTTGGGCTTGGAATGTCAGGAGGAGCCAAATATCTGCCGCGCGACTGGTCATATAATCGGGCTAATGCCTATGGCGTCTTTTGCATGGGTAACGAAACGGATGCCTTCGATTGTTATGTCAACGAGAACGACACAACAAATGGAATGTGCTATCAGATGGATGATGCAGCAGTTGATTGCTACACTAGTTCAATGCCGATGACTAGTTTTTTCAGTATGTTTAAAAATACATATATCGCTTCAACTTAAATAAAGATTCAAAATTTACCGTTAATATTGTCATTTGATTGACTGATTGATTTGTTGCTTAACGTCCAGTGGCAAGAATTTGATGAAAGTTCAGGACGATATTATTATTAGAGGATTGATAATTATTTGATTGTTGTGTGTCTACTTCTTTTAATGCAAAGTCCGTCGTTTGATATAATATTAAAAGTTTTAAATGTCAAATATTTGGTGTACATTTAGGATACAGTATGCAAATGCTTTTCCTTTTAATGCCCCCTTGTTTATTCTTACATTATCTGAGAGGCAATAGACTATTATTGGTCTTATAAGAAACGCGTTCGAATATTTCCTTTAAAAACATCATTGATATCTGAAAAGCTTAAACAAAACGTGTCAAGTTTGATTTTTATCATCTTAGAATTGCTAAGATTGAATTTAAATATCCGATTACATCGATGACCTATCAACGTTTGCCCATATGCACAGATTGTTAATTTAGCTAATTAGGGTTGTTAGGTAAAATCAAATAGATTCACCCATATATCAAAACGACAGTTGATGCATTACTTTGTATACTAACTTTATATTTGATTTCAGATGACAAGAATGGTACACTGGATATCACTTCCGATGGTAGGGTTTTGTACACTGAAAATGGAACTACTGAAACTATCTGTTCATATGAATGGGATGATATCGATGCTGGAGTTTTATGTAGACATCTTGGGCTTGGAATGTCAGGAGGAGCCAAATATCTGCCGCGCGACTGGTCATATAATCGGGCTAATGCCTATGGCGTCTTTTGCATGGGTAACGAAACGGATGCCTTCGATTGTTATGTCAACGAGAACGACACAACAAATGGAATGTGCTATCAGATGGATGATGCAGCAGTTGATTGCTACACTAGTACAATGCCGATGACTAGTTTTTTCAGTATGTTTAAAAATACATATATCGCTTCAACTTAAAAAAAGATTCAAAATTTACCGTTAATATTGTCATTTGATTGACTGATTCAATGGTTGCTTAACGTCCAGTGGCAAGAATTTCATGAAAGTTCAGGACGATATTATTGTTAGAGGATTGATAATTATTTGATTGTTGTGTGTCTACTTCTTTTAATGCAAAGTCTGTCGTTTGATATAATATTAAAAGTTTTAAATGTCAAATATTTGGTGTACATTTAGGATACAGTATGCAAATGCTTTTCCTTTTAATGCCCCCTTGTTTATTCTTACATTATCTGAGAGGCAATAGACAAATATCGGTCTTATAAGAAACGCGTTCGAATATTTCCTTTTAAAACATCATTGCTATCTGAAAAGCTTAAACAAAACGTGTCAAGTTTGATTTTTATCATCTTAGAATTGCTAAGATTGAATTTAAATATCCGATTACATCGATGACCTATCAACGTTTGCCCATATGCACAGATTGTTAATTTAGCTAATTAGGGTTGTTAGGTAAAATCAAATAGATTCACCCATATATGTAAACGACATTTGATGCATTACTTTGTATACTAACTTTATATTTGATTTCAGATGACAAGAATGGTACACTGGATATCACTTCCGATGGTAGGGTTTTGTACACTGAAAATGGAACTACTGAAACTATCTGTTCATATGAATGGGATGATATCGATGCTGGAGTTTTATGTAGACATCTTGGGCTTGGAATGTCAGGAGGAGCCAAATATCTGCCGCGCGACTGGTCATATAATCGGGCTAATGCCTATGGCGTCTTTTGCATGGGTAACGAAACGGATGCCTTCGATTGTTATGTCAACGAGAACGACACAACAAATGGAATGTGCTATCAGATGGATGATGCAGCAGTTGATTGCTACACTAGTTCAATGCCGATGACTAGTTTTTTCAGTATGTTTAAAAATACATATATCGCTTCAACTTAAATAAAGATTCAAAATTTACCGTTAATATTGTCATTTGATTGACTGATTGATTTGTTGCTTAACGTCCAGTGGCAAGAATTTGATGAAAGTTCAGGACGATATTATTATTAGAGGATTGATAATTATTTGATTGTTGTGTGTCTACTTCTTTTAATGCAAAGTCCGTCGTTTGATATAATATTAAAAGTTTTAAATGTCAAATATTTGGTGTACATTTAGGATACAGTATGCAAATGCTTTTCCTTTTAATGCCCCCTTGTTTATTCTTACATTATCTGAGAGGCAATAGACTATTATTGGTCTTATAAGAAACGCGTTCGAATATTTCCTTTAAAAACATCATTGATATCTGAAAAGCTTAAACAAAACGTGTCAAGTTTGATTTTTATCATCTTAGAATTGCTAAGATTGAATTTAAATATCCGATTACATCGATGACCTATCAACGTTTGCCCATATGCACAGATTGTTGATTTAGCTAATTAGGGTTGTTAGGTAAAATCAAATAGATTCACCCATATATGTAAACGACATTTGATGCATTACTTTGTATACTAAATTTATATTTGATTTCAGATGACAAGAATGGTACACTGGATATCACTCCCGATGGTAGGGTTTTGTACACTGAAAATGGAACTACTGAAACTATCTGTTCATATGAATGGGATGATATCGATGCTGGAGTTTTATGTAGACATCTTGGGCTTGGAATGTCAGGAGGAGCCAAATATCTGCCGCGCGACTGGTCATATAATCGGGCTAATGCCTATGGCGTCTTTTGCATGGGTAACGAAACGGATGCCTTCGATTGTTATGTCAACGAGAACGACACAACAAATGGAATGTGCTATCAGATGGATGATGCAGCAGTTGATTGCTACACTAGTTCAATGCCGATGACTAGTTTTTTCAGTATGTTTAAAAATACATATATCGCTTCAACTTAAAAAAATATTCAAAATTTACCGTTAATATTGTCATTTGATTGACTGATTCAATGGTTGCTTAACGTCCAGTGGCAAGTATTTCTTAAAAGTTCAGGACGATATTGTTATTAGAGGATTGATAATTATTTGATTGTTGTGTGTCTACTTCTTTCATTGCAAAGTCCGTCGTTTGATATAATATTAAAAGTTTTAAATGTCAAATATTTGGTGTACATTTAGGATACAGTATGCAAATGCTTTTCCTTTTAATGCCCCCTTGTTTATTCTTACATTATCTGAGAGGTAATAGACAGTTATTGGTCTTATAAGAAATGCGTTCGAATATTTCCTTTTAAAACATCATTGCTATCTGAAAAGCTTAAACAAAACGTGTCAAGTTTGATTTTTATCATCTTAGAATTGCTAAGATTGAATTTAAATATCCGATTACATCGATGCCCTATCAACGTTTGCCCATATGCACAGATTGTTAATTTAGCTAATTAGGGTTGTTAGGTAAAATCAAATAGATTCACCCATATATGAAAACGACAGTTGATGCATTACTCTGTATACTAACTCTATATTTGATTTCAGATGACAAGAATGGTACACTGGATATCACTTCCGATGGTAGGGTTTTGTACACTGAAAATGGAACTACTGAAACTATCTGTTCATATGAATGGGATGATATCGATGCTGGAGTTTTATGTAGACATCTTGGGCTTGGAATGTCAGGAGGAGCCAAGTATCTGCCGCGCGACTGGTCATATAATCGGGCTAATGCCTATGGCGTCTTTTGCATGGGTAACGAAACGGATGCCTTCGATTGTTATGTCAACGAGAACGACACAACAAATGGAATGTGCTATCAGATGGATGATGCAGCAGTTGATTGCTACACTAGTACAATGCCGATGACTAGTTTTTTCAGTATGTTTAAAAATACATATATCGCTTCAACTTAAAAAAAGATTAATAACTTTCCGTTAATATTTTCATTTGACTGACTGATTGATTGGTTGCTTAACGTCCAGTTGCAAGTATAGCATGAAAGTTCTGGACGGTATTATTATTAGAGGATTGATTATTATTTGATTGTTGTGTGTCTACTTCTTTTAATGCAAAGTCTGTCGTTTGATATAATATTAATGGTTCTAAATGTCAGTTTTTTCGTTTACGTTAAGGATAAGATATGCAGCTAATTTTATTTTTAATTCCCCCTTATTTATTCTTACATTATCTGAGAGGCAATAGAGAATTATTGGCCTTATAAGAAACGCGTTCGAATATTTCCTTTTGAAACATCATTGCTATCTGAAAAGCTTAAACACAACGTGTCAAGTCTGATTTTTATCATTTAGTGTTGCTAAGATTGAATTTAAATATCCGATTACATCGATGACCTATCAACGTTTGCCCATATGCAGAGATTGTTAATTTAGCTAATTAGGGTTGTTAGGTAAAATCAAATAGATTCACCCATATATGTAAACGACAGCTGATGCATTACTTTGTATACTAACTTTATATTTGATTTCAGAGGACAAGAATGGTACACTGGATATCACTTCCGATGGTAGGGTTTTGTACACTGAAAATGGAACTACTGAAACTATCTGTTCATATGAATGGGATGATAGCGATGCTGGAGTTTTATGTAGACATCTTGGGCTTGGAATGTCAGGAGGAGCCAAATATCTGCCGCGCGACTGGTCATATAATCGGGCTAATGCCTATGGCGTCTTTTGCATGGGTAACGAAACGGATGCCTTCGATTGTTATGTCAACGAGAACGACACAACAAATGGAATGTGCTATCAGATGGATGATGCAGCAGTTGATTGCTACACTAGTACAATGCCGATGACTAGTTTTTTCAGTATGTTTAAAAATACATATATCGCTTCAACTTAAAAAATATTCAAAATTTACCGTTAATATTGTCATTTGATTGACTGATTGATTGGTTGCTTAACGTCCAGTGGCAAGAATTTCATGAAAGTTCAGGACGATATTATTGTTAGAGGATTGATAATTATTTGATTGTTGTGTGTCTACTTCTTTTAATGCAAAGTCCGTCGTTTGATATAATATTAAAAGTTTTAAATGTCAAATATTTGGTGTACATTTAGGATACAGTATGCAAATGCTTTTCCTTTTAATGCCCCCTTGTTTATTCTTACATTATCTGAGAGGCAATAGACAATTATCGGTCTTATAAGAAACGCGTTCGAATATTTCCTATAAAAACATCATTGCTATCTGAAAAGCTTAAACAAAACGTGTCAAGTTTGATTTTTATCATCTTAGAATTGCTAAGATTGAATTTAAATATCCGATTACATCGATGACCTATCAACGTTTGCCCATATGCACAGATTGTTAATTTAGCTAATTAGGGTTGTTAGGTAAAATCAAATAGATTCACCCGTATATGAAAACGACAGTTGATGCATTACCTTGTATACTAACTTTATAATTGATTTCAGATGACAAGAATGGTACACTGGATATCACTTCCGATGGTAGGGTTTTGTACACTGAAAATGGAACTACTGAAACTATCTGTTCATATGAATGGGATGATATCGATGCTGGAGTTTTATGTAGACATCTTGGGCTTGGAATGTCAGGAGGAGCCAAATATCTGCCGCGCGACTGGTCATATAATCGGGCTAATGCCTATGGCGTCTTTTGCATGGGTAACGAAACGGATGCCTTCGATTGTTATGTCAACGAGAACGACACAACAAATGGAATGTGCTATCAGATGGATGATGCGGCAGTTGATTGCTACACTAGTTCAATGCCGATGACTAGTTTTTTCAGTATGTTTAAAAATACATATATCGCTTCAACTTAAATAAAGATTCAAAATTTACCGTTAATATTGTCATTTGATTGACTGATTGATTGGTTGCTTAACGTCCAGTGGCAAGTGTTTCATGAAAGTTCAGGACGATGTTGTCTAGATGATTAATAATTATTTGATTGTTGTGTGTTTACTTCTTTCATTGCAAAGTCCGTCGTTTGATATAATATTAATGGTTCTAAATGTCAAATATTTGGTGTACGTTTAGGATAGAATATGCAACTTATTTTACTTTTAATTCCCCCTGGTTTATTCTTACATTATCTGAGAAACAATAGAAAACTATTGGACTTATAAGAAACGCGTTCGAATATTCCATTTCAAAATATCATTGCTATCTGAAAAGCTTAAACAAAACGTGTCAAGTTTGATTTTTGTCATCTTAGTGTTGATAAGATCGAATTTAAATATCCGATTACATCGATGACCTATCAACGTTGCCCATATGCACAGACTGTTAATTTAGCTAATTAGGGTTGTTAGGTAAAATCAAATAGATTCACCCATATATGAAAACAACAGTTGATGCATTACTTTGTATACTAACTTTATATTTGATTTCAGATGACAAGAATGGTACACTGGATATCACTTCCGATGGTAGGGTTTTGTACACTGAAAATGGAACTACTGAAACTATCTGTTCATATGAATGGGATGATATCGATGCTGGAGTTTTATGTAGACATCTTGGGCTTGGAATGTCAGGAGGAGCCAAATATCTGCCGCGCGACTGGTCATATAATCGGGCTAATGCCTATGGCGTCTTTTGCATGGGTAACGAAACGGATGCCTTCGATTGTTATGTCAACGAGAACGACACAACAAATGGAATGTGCTATCAGATGGATGATGCAGCAGTTGATTGCTACACTAGTTCAATGCCGATGACTGGTTTTTTCGGTATGTTTAAAAACACATATATCGCTTCATCTTAAAAAAAGATTCAAAATTTACCGTTAATATTGTCATTTGATTGACTGATTGATTGGTTGCTTAACATCCAGTGGCAAGTATTTCATGAAAGTTCAGGACGATGTTGTCTGTAGATGATTGATAATTATTTGATTGTTGTGTGTTTACTTCTTTTATATCAAAGTCCGTCGTTTGATATAATATTAATGGTTCTAAATGTCAAATATTTCGTGAACGTTTAGGGTAGAATACAAAACTAATTTTAGTTTTAATTCCTCCTGGTTTATTCTTGCATTATCTGAGAGGCAATAGAAAACTTTAGGCCTTATAAGAAAAGCGTTCGAATATTCACTTTTAAATCATCATTGCTATCGGAAAAGCTTAAACAAAACGTGTCATGTTTGATTTTTATCATCTTTATTAGTGTTGATAAGATCGAATTTAAATATCCGATTACATCGATGACCTATCAACGTTTGCCCATATGCACAGATTGTTAATTTAGCTAATTAGGGTTGTTTGGTAAAATTAAATAGATTCACCCATATATGAAAACGACAGTTGATGCATTACTTTGTATACTAACTTTATATTTGATTTCAGATGACAAGAATGGTACACTGGATATCACTTCCGATGGTAGGGTTTTGTACACTGAAAATGGAACTACTGAAACTATCTGTTCATATGAATGGGATGATATCGATGCTGGAGTTTTATGTAGACATCTTGGGCTTGGAATGTCAGGAGGAGCCAAATATCTGCCGCACGACTTATCATATAATCGGGCTAATGCCTATGGCGTCTTTTGCATGGGTAACGAAACGGATGCCTTCGATTGTTATGTCAACGAGAACGACACAACAAATGGAATGTGCTATCAGATGGATGATGCAGCAGTTGATTGCTACACTAGTTCAATGCCGATGACTGGTTTTTTCGGTATGTTTAAAAACACATATATCGCTTCGTCTTAAAAAAAGATTCAAAATTTACCGTTAATATTGTCATTTGATTGACTGATTGATTGGTTGCTTAACGTCCAGTGGCAAGTATTTCATGAAAGTTCAGGACGATGTTGTCTGTAGATGATTGATAATTATTTGATTGTTGTGTGTCTACTTCTTTTATATCAAGGTCCGTCGTTTGATATAATATTAATGGTTCTAAATGTCAAATATTTCGTGAACGTTTAGGGTAGAATACAAAACTAATTTTAGTTTTAATTCCTCCTGGTTTATTCTTGCATTATCTGAGAGGCAATAGAAAACTTTAGGCCTTATAAGAAAAACGTTCGAATATTCACTTTTAAATCATCATTGCTATCGGAAAAGCTTAAACAAAACGTGTCATGTTTGATTTTTATCATATTTATTAGTGTTGATAAGATCGAATTCAAATATCCGATTACATCGATGACCTATCAACGTTTGCCCATATGCACAAATTGTTAATTTAGCTAATTAGGGTTGTTTGGTAAAATTAAATAGATTCACCCATATATGAAAACGACAGTTGATGCATTACTTTGTATACTAACTTTATATTTGATTTCAGATGACAAGAATGGTACACTGGATATCACTTCCGATGGTAGGGTTTTGTACACTGAAAATGGAACTACTGAAACTATCTGTTCATATGAATGGGATGATATCGATGCTGGAGTTTTATGTAGACATCTTGGGCTTGGAATGTCAGGAGGAGCCAAATATCTGCCGCGCGACTGGTCATATAATCGGGCTAATGCCTATGGCGTCTTTTGCATGGGTAACGAAACGGATGCCTTCGATTGTTATGTCAACGAGAACGACACAACAAATGGAATGTGCTATCAGATGGATGATGCAGCAGTTGATTGCTACACTAGTACAATGCCGATGACTAGTTTTTTCAGTATGTTTAAAAATACATATATCGCTTCAACTTAAAAAAAGATTCAAAATTTACCGTTAATATTGTCATTTGATTGACTGATTCAATGGTTGCTTAACGTCCAGTGGCAAGTATTTCATGAAAGTTCAGGACGATATTGTTATTAGATGATTGATAATTATTTGATTGTTGTGTGTCTACTTCTTTTAATGCAAAGTCCGTCGTTTGATATAATATTAAAAGTTTTAAATGTCAAATATTTGGTGTACATTTAGGATACAGTATGCAAATGCTTTTCCTTTAAATGCCCCCTTGTTTATTCTTACATTATCTGAGAGGCAATAGACAATTATCGGTCTTATAAGAAACGCGTTCGAATATTTCCATTAAAAACATCATTGCTATCTGAAAAGCTTAAACAAAACGTGTCAAGTTTGATTTTTATCATCTTAGAATTGCTAAGATTGAATTTAAATATCCGATTACATCGATGACCTATCAACGTTTGCCCATATGCACAGATTTTTAATTTAGCTAATTAGAGTTGTTAGGTAAAATCAAATAGATTCACCCATATATGTAAACAACAGTTGATGCATTACTTTGTATAGTAACTTTATATTTGATTTCAGATGACAAGAATGGTACACTAGATATCGATTCCGATGGTAGGGTTTTGTACACTGAAAATGGAACTACTGAAACTATCTGTTCATATGAATGGGATGATATCGATGCTGGAGTTTTATGTAGACATCTTGGGCTTGGAATGTCAGGAGGAGCCAAATATCTGCCGCGCGACTGGTCATATAATCGGGCTAATGCCTATGGCGTCTTTTGCATGGGTAACGAAACGGATGCCTTCGATTGTTATGTCAACGAGAACGACACAACAAATGGAATGTGCTATCAGATGGATGATGCAGCAGTTGATTGCTACACTAGTTCAAAGCCGATGACTGGTTTTTTCGGTATGTTTAAAAACACATATATCGCTTCATCTTAAAAAAAGATTCAAAATTTACCGTTAATATTGCCATTTGATTGACTGATTCAATGGTTGCTTAACGTCCAGTGGCAAGTATTTGATGAAAGTTCAGGACAATATTGTTATTAGAGGATTGATAATTATTTGATTGTTGTGTGTCTACTTCTTTTAATGCAAAGTCCGTCGTTTGATATAATATTAATGGTTCTAAATGTCAATTTTTTCGTGTACGTTTAGGATAGAATATGCAACTAATTTTACTTTTAATTCCCCCTTGTTTATGCTTACATTATCTGAGAGGCAATAGACAATTATTGGCCTTATAAGAAACACTTGCGAATATTTCCTTTTGAAACATCATTGCTATCTGAAAAGCTTAAACACAACGTGTCAAGTTTGATTTTTATCATCTTAGTGTTGCTAAGATTGAATTTAAATATCCGATTACATCGATGACCTATCAACATTTGCCCATATGCACATATTGTTAATTTAGCTAATTAGGGTTGTTAGGTAAAATCAAATAGATTCACCCATATATGTAAACGACAGTTGATGCATTACTTTGTATACTAACTTTATATTTGATTTCAGATGACAAGAATGGTACACTAGATATCGATTCCGATGGTAGGGTTTTGTACACTGAAAATGGAACTACTGAAACTATCTGTTCATATGAATGGGATGATATTGATGCTGGAGTTTTATGTAGACATCTTGGGCTTGGAATGTCAGGAGGAGCCAAATATCTGCCGCGCGACTGGTCATATAATCGGGCTAATGCCTATGGCGTCTTTTGCATGGGTAACGAAACGGATGCATTCGATTGTTATGTCAACGAGAACGACACAACAAATGGAATGTGCTATCAGATGGATGATGCAGCAGTTGAATGCGACAGTATGTTGTTTTATTTTGAAATGAAATTTCCATAAGAATTAGTCTAATCGTGCCACTTACTCTAGACGTAATTACTTTTGTAGTTAAATGGTTCTGTTGTACATGGTTGTGTATCTCTGTAAAATAGTGTGTGGTTACTCGTTCTTGGATGATGGTTTTCTGGATTTTGAGCAGTGTGTTTCAAAAGTTTAAATGTGTTCATAAGAAGACAAACACATGATAAGTGTCACTTATAGTGTCCGGCTTCGGCTTTACTTTTGTCCTTTTTGGACTATAAGCTATTTTGGCCTCGAGCATTAATGAAGAGACATTTATTGTCAAAATGATCATATGGTGCAGAAAAAGCGTTATTTACCTTTCAACTATAACGGGAGTGATGTCATGTCTTATAGAGAGTAAACATTGTTTGGTTCGGATAAAATAGTCATATAAGGCTGTGATAAAATTCCACTTATAACGGGAGTGATGCCATGTCTTATTAGGGTAAACATAGTTGGTTTTGCATACAATACTCATATAAAGCTGTGATAACATTCCACTTCTAACTGAATGCTGTAATGTCTTATCAAAGGAAAACATAGTTGGTTTTGCAAAGATTACTAATTATATATGTAAGAGAACATACCGTTATGAATAACGTTTATCATAAAAATTTAAATGATATCCCAACTCTTTGAAGTGTTGCTTTATACTAAAATGTGTGGCTATAGTCAACATTCGACAAACACTCATTACACTAGAGCAATTACATTAAATTTGTACATAAATCAACATTTGATATTTGAAAAACATGCCATTATTACTTAAACTGAATATTTCATCTTTATTCCTAAAGGGAAAGGGAATGACCAAATAAGCAAATAACTTATTTATTTTGCTCTTTATTAAATTATGAAGAGTCGAACTATGGAATTCACATGATTAACTTTCCGCCAACCAATTTTTTTTTAGCTTCAATGAACGTAATGACTGTTTGATATTTTGCAGGTCACATGTCATCAACGTCTGTACTAAATACTTTGATGTATTCTCCATCTTCTGTTTACAACATTCAACCAACATCAATGAATTCCAATATGGTACTTCAGTCAACTATGAGTATATTGCAATTGCCATCAAATAACTACGTGGGAATGAATCCCTCACACCTGACATCAAGCAACTATATGCAACAATCTAATATACAGCCTTCGCATAGCACAATTTCAGTTTCCCGTAGCATTCCAATACAAAGTACAAATGGATTACAACAAATAACCACACAATTTATTCAAAGCAACAGTATGCTACCTGCATCAAGCAATTACAATGGGCTGTCAGTAATGCATCCAATCCAGACAACACCAATTACGACAGCAGTTAGCAGCATTAATGGATCTCCTCTGATGCAAAATAGCCAGGTGCATGCTATTACGAGCTCAATAACTCAACAAAGTATGTCTCAGGTTATTCATAATACACAAACCAATCAAGCATTCAGTAGCATTATCGGATCACCTATTATGGGTAATAGCCATGCACCTGCTTTGACAACTTCAGTACCTCAACAAACTATGTCTCATGTTATCCAAAATACACCAACAATACCAGCATTTAGCAGCATTAATGGATCTCCTCTGATGCAAAATAGCCAGGTGCATGCTATTACGAGCTCAATAGCTAAACAAAGTATGTCACAGGTTATTCATTATACACAAACCACACAAGCATTCAGTGGCATTGTTGGATCATTTGTTATGGGTAATAGCCAGGGACCTGCTTTGACAACTTCAATACTTCCTCAAAGTATTTCTCAGCATATTCAAAATACACAGACTATACCAGCATTCAGTAGCATAACTGGAACGCCTATTGTGCATAATAGCCAGACACTTGCTATTACAACATCAATACCTCTCCACATTACGTCTCAAATTATTCAAAATACACCGATTACACCTACATCGAGCAGTGTAAACGGACCTACTGTAATACAAACAACGCAGTCATTAATAGTTAGTGGCTTTGTATCTCTTCAAACCACTTCTCAGTCAATCCAAAATACACCGATTACACCAGCATCAAACAGTATAAATGGAGCTTCATTGGTTCAACCTAAGCTGTCATCTACAGCTTCTAGTTCTACAACAGTAACTTCATCGTCAACTTCAAGTTCTGTATATCCCGTATCTTCTCAACAAACGACCCAAACATCGTCTAGTATGAGTTCAAATTCTTCTACAACGACACAATCAAGTCTTTCAAATAATCTTGGATCAGGCAGTAAGTATATCTTTCCCATTTGTTATATCACACATCTAATGTATTGTACATTATATTCTTTCACGTTTTAAAATTCAATTTCAAAGGTATGAATACACAAATGTAAAGTAACTTTTAAGTTTGTTTTATGCAACACCTTGATAAACATACTAAATCTACAAAGTTTTCACTTTGCATATAAAAATTTTTAAAAAAAATAAAGAAGCAAATTGTGTTTCAATAGAAATATTTTCAGTTCTTACATTGAAGATAAACAAGTCGAAAATAATAAACCAACCAGCCTCACAATCTTATGCCGATAAGAAACCTACAGTCAACCGAAAGATCATATATTACTGTAACTCAATAATCATTATATAAGTTAGCATGAACATTTTATCTTGTTGCAGGTTCATCTGTATGGTCGTTCTTCAGTACGAAGATGTTGATTCTTTCAGTTCTGATGATGATATCAATCAAGAAAATGTTTTGCAGAGATGCTTGAACAGAAAAAAAAGTGCTTTCCGTTATATTTATATTTGTATAAATGACAATTTTATGTGATATTCAGATATTTATATACTATTTACAGATGAAAACAAGAAGTTTGTATTGTGGATATTTTTGTAATAATAGTGGGGTTTCCCGTTTATTTTTGGATTATTATTGGCTATTTCAGGTATTTGAAAAGAAAATGATTACATTCAATTTTTCCATTTTCCCATTATAAATATAGTATGTATCATCTGTTTTACTACACATCTTTATAACTGTTTATTCGCAAATCCCTCTGCGATTAATCATGATGTGCCTAGAATTAGGTTTATTGCTAGAAATTTCGGTAACATACTTATTATATATACTTAGAAATAAGTTCGAATATGTCTTATTTTACAAATAATAAAAATCTGATAATATTCAGATGCATAATTTAAAAACAGACGTGTTATGTTAAATTGTATTTCTGTAACCAAATTATTGTGAACTATGATTTATTAATGCATCGTTGAACATGATACAGGGTTATTTCAACTCACTTACCGGTACAACACCTTCTAAGTCTAGGTAAGTCTAAGAAAGGCTTTAATTTTGAAGACATAAAACACACAATAGTTTATTGTAAACGATTACTTTGTACTCATATATTCTGCATGTGTCAAAGATATGAAACATTGATAATACTAAAGATTCACATTGAACAGTAAACTTAAAATATACTGTTTACTTATTTCATTTCATTTTAATTTACGCATTTCTTGAACCATCACTTACTTATGCTTTTGTTGTTATAATTTGGCGTGCCTTTATTATTTTTTTATCTAGACCCTTTGGTATTGGATTTTATTGAAATGATTGGTACTGAATCTCAGTACTGAGACATATCATCGTGTTGTGTCTAAACTATAATCACAAGGCGAGGCGTTGTTGGTGTTAATTTTCCGTTGACGATTTCATCAACACTAAATGTAAAGTTTTCTAATAAGGTTTCAATTAAAGCACTTATAGTTCACCTTGATATCTTGTATACAGGGGCATTAACATCCGGATGCACCACAAAAACTTTACATGTAGGTAGTAAATGAGTTCTCATCCCCTCAGTTATGTTCACGGGATTTAAATATCTAATTTACCCTCATCAAATACATTTATGAAGAATCTTGTATGAAAGGACATTGGTTAATAATATGCTCTTGTACGTATAGGCATCCATGAATTTCATCTGTATGGAGAATATGGTATGCTGCATCCCAATCCTTCATTAGAGACTCCTAAGATTTCTACATAGATCAAATGATAAAACATTTTTTATAAGATACGTTTCTAATTTCGGACGCACGAAATTTATAAAATGTTATTTTCACTTACTAGTAATGAGTCGATACCACTACTGGTGTGCTGGTAGTCTCCGAGGGTATCATCAGCTCATTAGCTAGTGTTTCAGTACTGACATAAATTATTACATATTTTGTTCTAAAATTCTCCGTTGATGAATTAAGCAATCACTTAGAAACTAAGGTTCCAACTCTCTGGGGCAAAATTGACCTTGGATGAATTTGGCTTTGTAATTGTATATCCCTGTCTGTCAAATGTTTAGGGTTTGAACGTTCGTGTTGAAGGTTAATCTGGAAAAGAGCTTCAGACGCACAAAACAGCCCGTATATTTTAAAAGCTATTGACATTTGGTATGCTGTTGTGTTAGGACAACTGATTTAACTTTCAGGTAAAATATGAAACTCTGTCCCTTAATGATGCTTCAATCACTGGAATTATTCACATATTTTTGTGTGCTTATTAAGTACTTATACTAGCATCTTGATATTAAACTTCGGGTTTTATTGGTAATCCTGTCTTTCAGTTTCAGGTAAAATTCAATTGAGTGTAGCTTTCTTAAACTTTGGGCTTGATCATTCTGATTCATAAAGTGTTATCTTCATTTTAACGTCCAGTGGCAAATATATCATGAATTTTCAGGACGAGAACAAATTAACAATTAATACAAGGAGTTTGTGAGGGGGGAATTGAATTTTACAGGAAAATCAAGGCTACATTATATAAGTGGCGGAAATTACATAAATAAAATACAATAAAATGCGCCGCTGGGCGCAGCTTGATACGACCGCAGAGGTCGAACCCTGAACAGTTGGGGCAGGTATGGACACAACATTCAAGCTTGATACAGCTCTGAATTTGGATTGTGATTAAATATTTGACACAGCATAGGTTTCTGTCACAGAAGGAATGTGGTCTAAGAATTTAAACAAATTTAATTTACCTATTCACACCATATCATTATTATTTGCTTTTATATATAAATCAGAAATAACCAATTTAAAATGGAAAATTTTAAAGAAAAAAAAAGGAAAAAAAGGAAACAAAAAATTCCCCCCCTCAAAAAAATTTTTTGGAACCCCCTTATGATTCATTACCCCCAAACTCAATCCCAGCCTTCGCTTTGTAGTATGGTACCTTACAGTACAATTTCAGATAGATCCATACACTTGAACACAAGTTATTGTCTGGAAACTAAAAAAATGCTTTTTTTTTGCCCCCTTTTGGCCCCAAATTCCTACACTTTTAGGGCAATTACCCCCAAACTCAAACCCAGCTTTCCCATTGTGATATGGAACCTTGTAGTACAATTTCAGAAAGATCCATACACTTACACACAAGTTATTGTCATGAAACTAGAAACATGCTTTTTTTTGCCCCTTTTTTTGTCCCTAATTCCTAAAATTTTGAGGTAATTACCCCCAAAATCAATCCCAGCATTCCCTTTGTGATATGGAACCTTGTGATACAACGTCAGAGAGATCCATACACTAACACACAAGTTATGTCTGAAAGTTACAAAAATGCTTATTTTTGGCCCCTAATTCCTTAACTGTTGGTACCATAACCCCTAAAATCAATCCCAACCTTCCTTTTGTGGTATTGAACCTTATGGTAAAATTTCATAGAGATCCATTCACTTAAACTAAAGTAAGAGTGCGAAAACCAATGTGTCTTCGGACGACGCCGCCGACGCCGCCGCCGCCGCTGCCGACGACAACATCATACCAATATACGACCGCCAAATTTTTATGCGGTCGTATAAAAATAAGTAAGCAATGAACGAGGTTGTTAAATGTGATATATGCTTTTTTGTTAAATATTTGTTTGTTTTTGTTGTGATTAAGATTGTGACACGGTGTTGACTGCTGTACCCCTATTTTGACATTTATACCTTTTGTCTGTTTGTTTTATTCACGCATCGTTGTCAGTATAATGGAATTTGATGCGACTGTCATACAAGGGAGAGGTTTGGCGCTATAAAATCAGGTTCAATCCACAATTTTCTACATAAGAAAATGCCTGTACCAAGTCAGGAATATGACAGTTGTCCATTCGTTTGATGTGTTTGTGCTTTTGATTTTGCCATTTGATTAGGGACTTTCCGTTTTGAATTTTCCTCGGAGTTCAGTATTTTTGTGATTGAACTTTTGTCTTTAAACAGGCCTGGCAGACCTCTCAGATAGTTATTGCAAAAGTTATTAAATGTGCAGAGTCATCAAGTACAATATGAGCCTCAGCTTCTTATGTATCAGTTACTCCGGGACTTGACTCTGTTCAGATGTTAGATTTCAGGATTACTAGTAAATGTGTAATTTTATAATTTATATTTAAAATGCGATCAGCATTCCTGTATTACATTTTTGGCAGAATATTTTGTGCAACTCTTTAACACGCTTAACTAACTTCAGTAGCATGAACTCTTTAGTCATGCTCCATTGAATTTAAATAAACCAAAATGCATTGAAAAGACACATCCTTTAAGGAAAACAGATTGAATTCACCATAAATCTTTACTAGGAGAAAAAAGAAAATGTGTATTTATCAATTTATGGGAAATATCAGGGGCGGATTCAGGATTTTGGAAAGGGGCGGAGTATGTAAAGTTTTTTTTTTTTTTATCTATTTTTGACTAAAAAACATAAAATAAGTGTAAAATGCACTTTTTAAACGGTTCCTGACGTGGGGCATGTATATTTTATAGTTAAAGTGTAAGGGTTGGACATTTTTTATGCCGTATTTTCCGTATTAATTGTGTATTATAAAATGATTGGATGGATCCGAAGTTATGTACTAATATATTTAATGTTGGATTTGTCAGTAAAAAATTCGTAAGGGTTCCGCAGAACCCAGTGTCTCGCCTACTTTTGCTGTTAATCGCAGGCTCAACAAAAATGAGGAAAAAAATAATAAAAATATTCCTCTCTATACTATCTTTTGATTGTAAGTAGCTTCTGTCCAAGTTTGGTAAAAATCCAGGATAATTTATGAATCTAATAAATGTTTTAAAAACTTAAACTGCAGAATGTATGTAATGTTGACTGGAAGAAAAACTAAGTCCATTTATAAGTAAAATACGGAAAAATGGAACAAAATTTTATCAAAATTTCCTTCTAGATACTAGCTTTTGATCATAAACAAGCTTCTGTCCAAGTGTGGTACAAATCCAGGATAATTTAAGAAAGTTGTTAAAATTTTAAAAACTTTAACCACAGAGTGAATGTAAAGGTGCGTTTACATGATAAGATTTTCCGTTCGATTTTCCATCCGACTTGATACCGTCGCACAGGTAAATCGTACAGCGTTCTGTTCACACGATACGATTTTCCATTCGATTTTGAGCAGATTTGAACAAGTGCTTTTATTTTTCTAAACGCAGCAACTTCCGAAATTATCTATACGGCATGTAATCGGCAATTATATTATTAAAATTTAAACAAATATTATTGAATTATTGATTGGTGATTGGTTAATGATTTTTTACCAGAGGCTCCAAGGAGCCTGTAATCGCTCATCTGATTCACAGAAGTCAAGAAAAGAATTTAAAAAAAAATTCAAACTGAAAAAATTTGACAACTGAAAAAAAAAGCTAAATAAAAATTGTCATTTGAAGTCTAATGAATGTTAAAACCCGTTTCCAAGGACTATTCCTCCAAAATATGATTCCATCCAGCCCAGTTTTTTTATAAATGTAGCTTTTTATACTTTTATATGAGATGTTATGTTTCTTTATTTTTATTAAGTTAAGTACATATTGCACTACTATAGTGATCGTACTGGCCGTAATAATGTTTTCTTCGTAAACCTGTAATTTCCGTGAACGGATAAAAGACCCAAGCTTGACAAAATATTTAGCACAATATAGAGTGTGATATGAGTTATAAGTTTACCTTAAATAATTTTGTTTATATCAATGGTCATTTATTCCAAATTATCAGTCTTGAAACAAAGGTGAAAAATGCAAAAAATTGTTCAGCATGTAATCTCAGACTCTGTTTTTTAAACAAACACTAATTTTGAAAATGAATTCTACACCCAACAGATTGATATCGGTGTCAACATTTAATTCTAATACTTCTCTCTTCAGATAGACGTATTATGTTTTATAAA